ACATCCCTCATTTTCATGGTGCTTTGGTGCTTAAATATCAGGTTGTTCTTTTGGTTCACTGCTTCTTTCTTATTTTTGACCTCTGGTAGAGATTAAATTACTGTCTTCCTTTAGGTTGCTCTTAGCTCAGCTTGATTGCTTGCCAATCACTTTTTTCATTTCAGGGTTTACTTAGGAAACATAGCAGAGTGAAACAATCCTGGTTTTGCCTTCTGAGCTGTTGTCCTGTGTGCTGATTTTTGACTGACAGTCTAAAGGCTGAGCAGGCTGGAATGGTCTATGATCATGCTGGTGGTCTCTGATTTGTTAAGCTGCTGACAGCTGACATATGTGCTAAAGAGCAGTGTGTACAAAAGAAGTAGGAAGAAGTCAGTTTTGTTGAGTCAGATTAATCTGTAACTGAAATCTGACTGGAATTTCATGGTTGGTGGCTTTGTCCATTTTTGTTTCATACCTGCATAAAAAAGGAGGGATTACTTTTTTATGAGGTGGGAATAATGTCTGTGATAACAGTTTTCTTCACCTTTATATCTTCATCTTTATATCGTCACAGGAGTCAGGTAGCCCATATCTGCTCTTATAGATTGCGTTTTGAATAGTTACAACTTGAGATATGGCTCTGACCAATTTTGAAATTTAAATGGAACTGGAGGAAAGTGACTGGTGTCACTTTAAAGCTCTTTATTGCTATTACGTATTATGCCATTTGCATCCATTTTCAAATCTCCCCGACAAACTGTTGGTATTTTGCTATATGCTCATTGCTAGCTGCTAGAAGAAAGATCTGTACATTCTCCAGGCAGATGTGTTAGGAAGAAAGAATGTGCTTAAGAAGCTTGCTGTGGTTCTGAGTTACCGGCTGGGCTTAAACCACGACAACTGAGAAGAATGTTTCTGTTGTCCCCTTCTCTCTCAAGTCTTCTCAAAGCACTTTAAATGTGGGTAGATAGCTGTTTAGGAATGAGTGTCCACCCCTGACATATGTGTGCAGAAGTTTGGTAGCAGAGGGTGAGATTTGTGTGGAATAAGGTAGAATAATAATTTCTATCAGAATGGGCACAGACACAAAGCCCTAAGTGCCATGGTGACCTCCGAGTTCTTACTGTTACAACGTCTTGAAATCTTACCAAGTTTTTCAAAATTACATGGTGTCTACGTAGTGGGTTTAGTGCTGTTATGTCTTAGAGACAATTATGTATACAGACAATACATTAACTCAGTGTTGTCCCAGTTGCTCTGAGCTTTTGCAGGACCTAATCTGGTTTCATAATGGTCCTGATAGTATTTATGTTCCTATAGTTGCCTTGGAGCCCTAAACATAGACAGGGTGTTGACACAGAGGAAATCAGTGTTGTAATAAGCTCTGAATCTGTGAAATGGGAAATGACAAGTGAATGTAGGTAGATAGGAAATAAGGCTAATGTATAGGGGATTCAGCATACTGGTAGCCTAACCATTGCAATTTACTGAAAATGCCAACTGAGGAAAGAAGAGCATGTGCTTTGGGTTTTTTGGTAGGTGTATGGGAGGATTGTAGTTTTTGGTGGTACTGCTGTGGGAGAATACTTTCCATTTATCTGGACACCATGGAGTATGTGAACAAGTGCTTGTTGGGAAAATTCAGTAAGTGGATGATGGCAGCTGGTGTTATGTGCTAGATGCCAAATTTGATAGTGGAAGAGAGTGCAGAGGCTGCAGGAGGTTTGAAAGAGGAGGTAAGAGAATTTGGTGTGGTAAAGGAGGAAAGTTCAGTGCTGGGATGATGCAGTTAAAATGAGGAATGAGGGAGGGGATCCAGTAAGCAGCTTTCAAAATAGATGTCGAGTTAAATATGCCATGTTAAAAATATGATGCCAGAAAAGTGTGCAGCAGTACTGTTTTATTCAGTAGGAGCATTTTTTTTTTTTTTTTTAGCGTTTTTTTGAGACCTGCATTAATTTTTAACTTGGATGTTGAAAAATGTAGCTCTTCCTATCCCTTAAAATTTTAGGCATTTTAGAACCATGTCTTTCCCTTTTTGAAGGCAGGGGAGGAAGAAGAAAAACAGTGAGAAAATAATCTAATGGGATTTCTATGGAGAAAATATTTATACAGAATATTAAAGATAACTACTGCTTCTGGAATAAAAGATAAAATAATCTTTCCATGCATTGTGGTTTAACTCCAGCCAGCAGCTGTTCGCTTGCTCACCTGTCCCCTCTGTCTCACAGGGGCATAGGGAGGACAATAAAAAAAAAAAGGTAAACTCATGGGTTGAGATAAGAGCAGTTTAATAACTGAAACAGAAGAAAGTAAAATCTAACAATGATTCTAATACCAAAGATAACAGCAACAGTAATAATAATTGTAATGAAAAGGGGAGAGAGAAGAATAAAACTGAGGGACAAGTGATACCCAAATGAAAAATCATGGCAGTCAGGTGAAGTTCCTGACGACTGGAAAAAGGGAAATATAACCCCCGTTTTCAAGAAGGGGAAAATGGATGACCCGGGGAATTACAGACCAGTCAGTCTCACCTCTGTGACTTGCAAAATCTTGGAGCAGATTCTCCTGGAAGGCATGCTAAGGCACATGAAAAACAACAAGGTGCTTGGTGACAGCCATCAGGGCTTCACTAGGGGGAAATCCTGCCTGACCAAGTTGGTGGCCTTCTAGGATGGGACTACGGAAGTGATGGACAGGGTCAGAGCAGTTGACGTCATCTGCCTGAACTTGTGCAAAGTGTTTTGACACTGTCCCACATAACATCCTTGTCTCTAAATTGGAGAGACATCAATTTGATAGGTGGACCACTCAGTGGATAAAGAACTGAATGAATGGCCGCACACAAAGATTTGTGTGGTCAATGTGTCCAGCTTGAGACCAGTAACAAGTGGTGTCCCTCAGAGATCGGTGTTGGGACGGGTCTTATTCAACATCTTCGTCATTGACATGGACAGTGGGATTGAGTGCACCCTCAGCAAGTTTGCTGATGACACCAAGCTGTGTGGTTCGGTTGATACGCTGGAGGGAAGGAATGCCATCCAGAGGGACCTTGACACGCTTGTGAGGTGGGCTGATGCTGATGCCAACCTCATGAAGTTTAACTGTGCCAACTGCAAGGTCCTGAACCTGGGTTGAAGCAATCCCAGGCACAGCAAAGGGTTGGGCAGAGAAGAGACTCAGAGCAGCCGTGCAGAGAAGGACTTGGGGGTGTTGGTCGATGAGAAAATGAACATGAGCCAGCAGTGTGCGCTCGCAGCCCAGAAAGCCAACCATATCCTGGGCTGCATCAAAAGGAGCGTGGCCAGCAGGTCGAAGGAGGTGATCCTGCCCCTTTGCTCTTGTGAGACCTCACTTGGAGTACTGTGTGCAGTTCTGTTGTCCTCAACATAAAAAGGACATGAAACTGTTGGAACAAGTCCACAGGAGGGCCACGAGAATGATCAGGGGACTGGAGCACCTCCCGTATCAAGATAGGCTGAAAAAGCTGGGGCTGCGCAGCCTGGAGAAGAGAAGGCTGCGTGGAGACCTCATAGCAGCCTTCCAGTGTCTGAAGGGGGCCTATAAGGATGCTGGGGATGGACTCTTCATTAGGGACTGTAGTGATAGGACATGGGGTAACAGGATAAAACTTAAACAGGGGAAGTTTAGATTGGTTATAAGGAGGAAGTTCTTTACTGTAAGGGTGGTGAGGCACTGGAATGGGTTGCCCAAGGAAGTTGTGAATGCTCCATCCCTAGCAGTGTTCAAGGCCAGGTTGGACAGAGCCTTGGGTGACATGGCTTAGTATGAGCTGTCCCTGCCCAAGGCAGGGGGGTTGGAACTTGACGATCTTAAGGTCCTTTCCAATCCTAGCTATTCTATGATTCTATGATGCTATGAAATAAAATGGCTTACCACCTGCTGACCAGTACCCAGCCCAACCTGAGCAGCCATCAGGGCCTTCTGGGTAACGTCTCCCGGTTTATATAGTGGGCATGACATGCTGTGGTATGGAATACCGCTTTGGCTAGTTTGGGTCAGGTGTCCTGTCTCTGTTTCCTCTTGGGTTCTTGTCCCCCTCCTCACTGGCAGAGCATGAGAGACTGAAAAGTCCTTGATCAGGATAAGCGCTACTGAGCAGCAACTGAAAACATCGACGTGTTATCAGCATTGTTCTCAAACTAAAGTAAAAAAGACAGCACTGCACCAGCTACTAAGAAGGAGAAAAGTAACTGCGACAGCTGAACCCAGGACAGTTCCTTTTGCTAGAACTGGAGCTGATGGTGGTCCGCATTCCCAAGATTCATAGAACCATAGAATGCGGAACACCATCAGTTTCAGTGCTAGCAAAGATTCGGCCCTTATTGTTTTCCTCATTGTGTTAAAAATAACAGGGAATCTGCTGTCCTTGTTAAAAAGCTCACTGGAAGGACAAGATAAATGTTGCTAGTTAAGAAAGCAGATTATATTGAGTCTTCTAGGTGTAGCACTGATTGAAGGCTAATGCTGATATGAACACTTAACTAACAATTATTTGTCAAGTTCCATTATTCATGCCATAAATTTGAAGTAGCAGGCTTTTTTTAAAACCTCTGCATTTGTGGTTGGTGCTGTTCAGTGAATCTACCTGCTTGGCTTAGTAAAAGGCCTCAGCTTTCTACAACCAAGACACAGCAGTTATGGTTGCCAAGAGCTCCAGAGAAGTCAGTGATTAGCAGATTCATTTGTTCCCAGGGAACCAGGGCTCAGGGAGCATATCCTACAAATGGTGTCATGATTGCTTCAGGAGCCAGGAAGATGTTATCAGTTACAGAAGCTGTAAGGTGAGCTGACTGATGTGGGGATACTCATGAGCAACACAACTGCTTTGAGTATAGCTCTGCAGTCAGTCATGGAGTAGCCTCTCTCCTGAAAGGAACTTCATGCTAGACCTAAGCTTTGTTGATGAGGCACTCAGTTTGTGAGGCTGAAATGTGTCTGCAGTTCATGGATTCTTTTCTTGATTTGGTTTGTTTTTGTTTTATTAACAGACTTAGATCTTCAGTCTAATAAACAAACATGAGTCATCTGAAGTTGCTTGCTGCTACTCTGAAGTGGCATGGTATTAAATTTCTGGAAAAGCAAAATATAGCCAGAAGGGTATTTTTACATGGCCAACGGTATGTTTCATCAGGAATCTCAGAACCATTCCTGAGTGGGAGTAATTCAAATTATGTGGAGGAAATGTATTATGCGTGGCTTGAAAACCCTGGAAGTGTACATAAGGTAAGTTGAAAATGTGACTGTAAGTGATAATATTAGGTTAAGAGTGGAATCGATTATTTTTTTCTTTTTTAACTTCTTTTATAAAAAGTCCAAAAAAAGGTCTTGTATGAAATGAAAAATGTGAAACTAATTTCCCACATATTGATTGTTGTAAGATGTGATCCTGCAGCTAAAAAAGTACAGAGGAGCCACAGGCATGGTGAGCTTAATGTAAGCTGCTCAGAAACTTTCAGCATTCCTCCATGGAAATGCTGTTCAAGCAGTCTGTTAAGTAATTAATTACATCTGGAAGAAGCCCCAAGATAAGGTGATATCAGAGGATACATTATATTAGTGCACGTGTGGATGTTGATACTTCTGAACTGCCTGGGAAAAATGAATGTTCATGTCCCTTTAGGTAGCTGTGGAAGTTGTAACCTTAAAACTAAATCTGAAATTGTCAAAAAAGCCTTCTTAAGTGTTTTGAAAAGTATTTTGTTGTGTTTCCCTCTCTAGGTGACATACATTTGTTTGCTTTTTGAAAAACTTTATATCTATTTCCCAAATCCTTTCTTGTGGGCAAAATACATAGACTTATTTTTAACAAGCTTTCTGCTGACAGGAAAGGTTCTTTTATGGTGATACATGTATAGTAACTTAAGAAGCTGATGAGAAGTCTGACAAATTCTAAGACAAACAAGTAATTTTCTAGAGAAGTAATGTGAATTGTCTGCAAAATGTTTACCAAATTGGTTGTGTGTTCCCTTATTCTCAAGGCACATGTATCAAAATGTCACGTAGAAGTTGTTGCGCTAAGTCTGGTAATCTGTCCAGGGGGTGAGGAAGTGGCGCATGTTAAGTTGGGGAAAGAAACAAAAAAAGCAGTTTTGTAGCTGGTTTGTGTTTTGGGGTTTTTTTGTTTGTTTTGGTTTTTGGAAGCTGCTTGTGAATTTAGTCGTGTTGAAAGGTGACATCTGCCGTGACAGTTCTGAAGACTGAATGCTGTTCACATGGCAGATAGATCCTGGGATTTTTGTGTTACACCTTAAGTTGGAAATGAATAGACCTTTTCCAGGGTGGCTTCTTCTCTCATCCCATCTGTCTTTGATTCCTAAGATGCAACTGCCAGCAGAAGTTCCAACCAGTGTAGTGCAGGGTAGTACATTGTATTGATGCATTTAATTAATTTCTGAGGAGCACTTGTGATGCGTTGGTGCTACAGATCAATATTAACCTTTCATTTTGAGGACACTGGGGGGATGAACTCATGCATAGGGAGTGTGTGTGTGGTGACATGTTTTTACTTGTTTTATTGAAGTTAGATCAACTTGTGGCAACCTTCTTGCCTTTAAGAAGACTGCAATTTCTTGCTCAGACCCTTTACAGTGGAGTGAGTTTTGCTGCTGGAAAGTCTTGCAGACTTCTGATCGGTCACAAACCTCAGTGAATGAACACACGAGCGGTACACGCTTAAATCGGCCGTAAGCAGGAGCCGGGGCTGCAGGCAGCGTCGCGGGAGCTGGCCAGGGTGCTGAACTGCCGGGCCCAGCCCGCAGTTGGGCTCCGCGTAAAGGCCAGCAGAGTCTTCTGCGCGGCCGGGAAACTCCCGGCGCCACCGCCCTAGCAAAGAGTTCTGCTAAGTTTAGCCCTACTTGTTATTTTGCTGGTACTTGGGAGGGGGGGAATGTGTGTGTGTGTTTGTGTGTGTGTGTGGGAATGCTAAAAATCCTGCTGAACGGCAATCCAGTTTGTCTGACAGTTCAGGCACGGTGTGGCAGTGGATCCTGATGAGATACTGCTGTTTGTAGCTTGAACAGTGACCCATAAATTAGCAGAAGTGAACTGACAGTGGAATCTAAATGTACTGGTGGAGTAGGGTGTGGCCTAGGGAGTGGATCTCAGGTAATTCAGGATGCATTTTAAAAATGTGTGAAGTCTGTCCCAGGTTAACTGTATGCAATATACTCACAGTAGTAATGAACTGAAGTAAATTCACTGTGTGCCTGGATTATGAGCCTTAAAAGAACATGATTGATGGGCATCCTGGGTGAATTAACAGCTATTCTTGTCTAAATAACTGTGTTTTTCACAGCCTTGAAAAAAAGGAGGGAGGAAAATGATGCTTACAAGTTTTGTTTCCTCAACAAAATCAATTTTTGGTTTCTTGAAAACCATCTTAATTTCGTCAACTGAAAGCTGTAAATACCTACCCAAGATTTTTGTGGACAGAGGTTGTTCAGTTTGGGCTTTAATATAACACATTAAAAATGTGAAGACTTGAACTCACACTGTGTTCTTAAAAATACAGAAGAGTTCATACTGTAGTTGTATGACTGTTGTGAACTTGTCATTCTGCTTTGACAAGTGGTGTAAGTCTTGGAAAACAATATGCAGAGACACCAATGGCTTATGTGATGTTTGTTTTGCTATTGTTAGTAATTAAGTCTCTCTGCAGTACTCATTTCATTGTTTTATCCAATATGTTTAGTATGGTTTAGAGAGACAGTTTGGGCTAGGTGTTTAGACATTACATTCTCTTTTGTCTTTTTCCTATATTTCCTATTTTTCCTCATGTTTCTTCTTGGATATCTTCTTATCAGAGGGGATGTGCCTTCTTCTAGTTGAGGAGATGAAAATGCTTTATTTTTCCTGGGCTTTAAAAATCATGCTCTGTTCACTTTTACTTAGCAACTACAATTAATCAAGGCTCCTTAAATTATTTCTCTCTCAGAAGATTTGACTGTACATACTGTATCATGGATGCTTATTTAAAACTGTTTGAAATATGACTGTCATGTTCCAATGACAATATTCAGCGTTACTAGCATTTTTTCATTAGAATCTCTCTATGTATACCATGGTTGTATATTCAGGAATATACATTTATATGCATAGGAGCTTTCATTCTTTGTGCAAATCCATTCTTGACGATTCTCTGTTTTTCTTTGTCTTTTGAATCTCCTATCCTTAGAGTAGCCAAAACAACAATCAAAATAAAATGACGTGGGCTCTGAAAAAGGCATCATTATTTCTCCTTGAAGCATGGTGTCAGGTCCATAGATCATAAGGGAGAAGCTTGACAAGGCTCAGTTATTACCATCACAAGATTAATTACAATACTGCATGGTTGGGTATTGAGTACATAATGCCTGCCATGTAATCCTGTATACAGTCACTCTACCATGAGTGTGTAGTCATTTGGAAAAGCATGGGGGTTTTGTTTTGATGTAGTCTATTTTTTTATTTTTTTTATGGTATAATGATGCTCAGTGCGTGTCTTGTAAGGCTTTACTGTCCTCGCTGCAGTTGATAAATATTGTGATGTCACTAGAAAAAAAACCAAATCATCAAGATAACTAATATGTTACTTGTTATTCTAAATGCAACACTGTTCATTATATGAGAACAAAATAGTGACACTAAATCACTTGAGTTTTACTATATTACTTGAGAAAATAATAGTTAACTACAACATAGATTTGCTGACAGGAAAAAAAAAGAATATATCACATATCACTATAGTAATTTTGTTTTTACAGATGTATTTTTCTATTATAAGACTCCTCTACTATTTTCTTAAAGAACTTTACTAATTTAGTTTAGAACCTGTAGGTTTCCTGTGAGACCAAGCTGGTCTTCTGTCTGTTCAGTCGCATGGCAAATGCTGTTGCCAAAGACTGACATTGATACACACGACTTGAAGACTATAATCTGGTATCAATCTTGAAAGACACTATAGAAATTTATAAAGGCTTTGATGGATGTGTAGCTAGAAAAAACTAATTTTCTGTAGCCAAATGATGTATTTTCCCTCCCTTCTGATTAAATGTCAAGCTTGCTAAACAAATCAATAAGTTAAAAGATGCCATAGGAGAAGATAGTGTGGGTTCCTTCTGTCCTAGCTGGCTGCATATTCAGATGTGAACATTTTCGTTATGTCTGTGAGTTTGCATGGAGAAAGGGCCCTATGCCTATTCTCCTTACACAGGTAGCTTGGTGGGAAGTCTACTTAGATTTTGTTAGCAACTGTCTTACAGAGCACTCATTTAAAAACATACATTTTTTTGTGCGACTGTGCTGTGGTAACTTTTACATCTAAATGAAAAGGTTTTGACCCAACAAAAGAATAGTTATATTACCGTCAACACTGTATGTGTGCCATGGTGTTGGAAAAGGTGAGGAAGGATTCTTAACATAAGCAAAGCGTGTTCTTTATTAAAACTTTGAATGAATACCAAATGTCAGTTTTGTCATGGATCCAAGTATGTGTTTGGAATTTCCTAATTTAATGAAAGTTAATAACTGTTTACTGTCAAAATAATTCCACCAATCTAAGTAGCCTTAGTTGTGAAATGAAGGGGTTGTATCTATTTTTCTCTGTCTGTGATATGCAGGTTCTCAGGTGAGGTGCTGCATAGGCATGGAACAACACTACTGTCCTTAATACAGAGTAGGAAGGTGTGTAAAGAGAATACCAGAAGAAACACAGTTGCACCGATAGAATCTTGTAAATCATTTATAGGATGTTGTGTAAATTCATACTTCTAATCTCAGCGCAGCTATCAAGGTGTCAAAGTAAGAAGAACATAGAAAATCGGCATAAGTGAGAGAAGATAGAAGGAATGAGTTCTTCATCAGTGTGTCTGGAACTGACCTCCAAGCATGATCTGTCCACCCTAATTTGTGATGGCATATAGAAGTTAGACTGTATTTAGCTGAAGTCCATGTAAGAATAGGGTGGTAAATTAGGTAAGGTTATTGTATTTTATATCACTGCAGCTTTGTATCAATAGAGAAATAAGAAGGGTGCATTAAAGCAGTGTTTTTTGGGCAGTGGCTTCATGCTAATGATGAGATTCCTGCCCACAGGTTCATTGAGTCCTCCCACTTCTATAACTTGAACTTGGAAGTTTGGGTGGTGTTTAGCTTTTGTGTACTGCCCCTCTCATAGTATTTCTGAATACCTTAAAGCTTGTAGAAATTTCAATATAAAGATTTTTTCTTAATGAAATAAGGATTTAAAAAATATATTTCTGTCATGCAGTGTTGGTATTACATTGTTTTGATTCTCATGTGTGTTCTGTAATGAATATATTAAGTAATGTTCTTTTTAAAATCAAATCTTTGGGCCACATTTTGTCTTTTATAGCAATGGTTTCTTAAAATGTAAATGTGTTAGTTCCAAGCTCACAGCCAGGCTAAATTACATGCACTGTACAGAATGAAATTGGCTTTTACAGTTCTTCTCTTCCAGTTACAAACATTTTAAAGTTTTGAAATAGTTTCACAGTTTCCTTGCCTAAGTTAGCTGAATTGAGGAAAGTGTTCTATGACCTTTCATTACCTTTTGTGGGAACTGTAAGCTAAGCACAAGTATTGCTTAGTCCCCCACTACAGTAGACTTTCTTTTTTGTTAGGTATAAACATCTTGGATGTTTTATCCCATTCTGCTGCTAATATATCTAATACCATTCTAACCTGAGACAGTGGCTGCCTCATCAGAATAGAAACAGTCCAGGAAAACAAGATTTGGGCATATGTGGAGGGAGTGGCTTGTGTAAAAGTACAGATGGAAATAAAAGGATCTTTCATTTGTTGTGATTCAGATTCTGAAATGTGTACTCTTCTAAAATTATGACTTGTACCTGAAGCCAGGTCCATAATTTCTTTCATAGTAAGGTAACCTAAGCTAGTGAGTAAAGGATCCAAAAGTCTCACTCGGAAAAGCTGTAATTGCTTTTAAACAGTTTCTTCAAGAAAGGCCCTTAAGGACTGATTCTGATTTAGCATATTCAGTGAGTGCCTTGAAGTATAATAAATTCTTTAAGTATCATTAAAGGAATGGATTAATTTAATGTATTAAGGTTTTCAGTTTTATAGGCTTGATACCTCTTTACCAGCAGCATAATATCATACCCATTACTGGTTGCCTGAGTAAATAGCACAGTTAAAAAGAACTCTGTGAATGAATAATGTATGAAGATGCTTTCCACTCATATGTGCTGGAGAGTTTTCCACTGACCAAGCTCAGTATAAGAAATGATCTGAAAATGGTGTTGTGTAAATAAAACACATAGTTACTACCCTGATGTAGACCTATTAGTGCTGTCTTTTTGCTGGCTGTTAGTGGTACTTAATACTGTAATGCAGTTAGGTGCCATTTGCAGCTTGAAGGAGCTGATTTTGGTTGAGACTTTAGTTTGAGATAATAAATTTTCCTTCTTTCCTTCTCTGTACACATGCCCAGTCCTGGGATTTGTTTTTCCGAAATGCTAATGCTGGCCAAGCATATGATCCCCATCTACCAGATCAGTTGGAAAGAAAGGCATCATTTCTTCAGAGCCATGGCCTGGCCCAGACACCGGGTAAAGCTGAAAAGCTTGTTGAAGATCATCTTGCTGTGCAGTCTTTGATAAGAGCATACCAAGTAAGTGTACTTTGGGGTAGGTGTGGAAGTGCTTCTTACATTTTTATTTGTCTTCTGATCTTAACTCTTGCCTGTTGTCTTCCTTCTGATCCATAATGTCTCGAACCTGGCAGTTGTATCTTCCCTGCACAGTGTCTGAACACTGAGGTCGTGGAAGCAGACTGGGATGCTCCTCTGTCTTAGCAAATTCCAGATTCAGATTACCCACATCCCTGATGCTTTTTATCTGATTTTTGCTCACTCCCCCCTTCTTGCCCTCCCCCCTACTCCCAGAGGGACAGAGAGGAGAAGTGAAAAGAATGCAACTGCCACGGGTTGAGATAAGAACAGTTTAGTAACTAAGGTATCACACAAATCACTACTGCTGCCACCAATAATAGTAATGATAAAGGAAATAACAAGCGAAGAGAATACAACACCTCAGCACCAGCCGACTGATAACTCGCCCCCCCCCCCAGCCCGACCAAGCACCGACCAATACCTCCTCCAACCATGCAGTCTCCTAGCCCTTCTGGGTAACTCTCAGTTACATCCTGGGCATGACGTGCTGTGGTATGGAATACCTGTTTGGTCAGTTTGGGTCAGGTGTCCTGTCTCTGCTTCCTCCTGGCTTCCCTGCCTCCCTGGCAGAGCATGAGGCTCACAAAATCCTTGGCCAGACCAAAACATCAGTGTTATCAGCTCTGTTCCTAGGCTGAAAGTCAAAACACAGCACTGCACCAGCTACCAAGAAGGAGAAAAATGAGTGCTACTGCTGAACCCAGGACACCCAATCAATACATGTAGTGTGAACTTTTAGATTCCTGATTTGAGGAGGATTATAGGTAGAGAGAGGAAAAATAATGAATTAACCAGGAACTGAATTTTGGGAGGATGATAGTACTGTTTGGGTTAGCTTTGATGAATGTCTTTTAGAGAGCTGTTCATGAAAGTTGACTTTGTTTCACATTCATGTTTATTTTTTTAACCTTTTTATTAAATTAAGAAATTAAGTCTAATATCCTAAGACTTTTAACTCCTGTCTGCTGGGATCAGAGGAATAGAAGAACAACTCTTATTTCTGTACACATCACATTGTCACCATTGTTTCAGTTATGAACCGTGTTATTCTAGCTGTTGGAGAGGTGTTGTAAAACAGTAAAAAGGTTTGTGAAGATAAAGAATATATGAAATTTGCTTAGAAATAGCTATGTAGAAAACAACTACTTCAGCCAGTTCACTTTTCCTTGCAGTAAAAAATGGTTGAAGAATTAGAGAAAATTGGAGAATGTTAGGCTGCTTTGACACCATTTACTTGAAAATAGTTCAGGGGTTGCCATTTTGTTTGCTTTATTTGAAAGACTGTGCCATGCAACTCAAGTGATGGAACAGAAATGTCTGTATAAATGGCAGGAACACGTGTTTTGCAACAATGAAAAAGGTTTCCCCAAGGCAACTGTTTTTAAAAGGTATTTAATACCCTCTAAATTCAGTGCTGAAGGGATATGATTAATTTGTGACCTTCCTTCACCTGATAATGAAATGAAGTGGAGGAAGATACAGAATTTTCAGTTTTCAAACCTGTCAGTATTTTATGGCGTTTCGTGGTAAACTGCTTTGTGGTCTGTTGAGCTGGTCTTCTGAAAAGGCAGTTAATCTCTTGCTTTTTTAATGTAGAACACTGCTTGCACTGAAAGGATTTCCAGTGAAATGTGTGTGCTTAACAAAAATGAGTCTATGTAAATTAATGTCTTGAGTCTTCTTTTATAATGTAGTTGTTAGAGGTTTTTTGCCTTTGTGTCTAGAAAATATGATTTTAAAGTCTAGTTTCAGGTCGTCTGTATTTGCACTCCGTCAAATTTATGGCAATTGTTGAAAATTTTCCATGCATGTGTTTTCAAAAGGTAGAGTTTTGCAGTTGCTACTATTTTCTGTATGCAGTGAAATAAGTGGAAGTTATTAAATATTGAGGAAAATACTGTTTTCTGGCTGAAGACCAAACTGCTTCTGGAGTGTAATATGGCAAATCGATTTGCTTTTCTGGGTTTTAGTGTTCTTGCTAATCTTCTTCCTCTTCCTACTAATACTGCAGAACAGATGTAGCTTGGGGAGGTGAATTCTTTTTCTGTTGATGATGCTTGAGACAGAATTGTTTGCTTAGTTCCAGGCAGATAGACTTTGTGTGTGGTAAACAATAAGGTGGCACAGATGTAGCCGTGGGCATTATTTGGCCCGTCAGAGTTTTATTACTGGTGATTCATGAGATGCAAAGAATCTCACAGGCCAGGCTGAATTTACAGGGCTGGTGGTTCTAAAAAAGATGCCGTATTTCTGTTTGCATATGAGTGGAAAGCATTTTGTTATGAATTCTCCTACAAATACAGAACATTTGAATAATGTTTTTACAAGTTACTTCTTGGTGAACCACTCTTTAACCGCACTCTATTACTGTGTGGTGCGATTCATTATTAATGTTGCAGTTTATGGATATGTTTTTTCAGAGACAATTAGAATACTAGTAGTGTAAATGAAATTCTACCAAGGTGATCTGAATTTGTCCTTAAAAAGAAAAACATTAAGGAGAAAATATTAATATATTAATTTATAAAAAGCTTTAAATTTGGTATATGAGAGTCATGCAAAAGAGAGATTAAAAAAATGTTTCATTTGTGGCTCTATTGAATCAATTAGTTATTTCTTCTATAACAATGTTATATGTTAATGTAAGATACTAATTCATAGCAACTTGTGGTGTGGATCAACACCAGTAATATTGATAACTAAAAGATGGCTAAATTCCCCACTAAATTTGTGTTCTTTGGTGTCTTTGAATGTCAATTTTATAATAGATGAAATTCCCAAAATTGCATGAATGAAAGTAACTGTTATCTGGTACTATCTGATGTGGAGCAGAGCTCATGAAGAGCAATCCTTTCACTTCCAGTGTAGACTTCTTCAGCACCAATCTGTGTTACAGGTCAGCAGTGCTTTATTTTAGTGTTCTGCAGGTGTGGGAAGGCAAAAATACAAAATGAATGAATTAGTAAATGGTAGGATATAGAGGAGTAATAGTTTCTTAATTCTGCCCAAAGATTTAGAGTATGATCTTAAAGTAGTTTTTTTTTTTTTACCTAAACTTCAGTGTAATTTTAAATTGTATGTGAGACAAAATAAAGCTAATGTTCTAATGTGTATTCAGTGATTATTAATAGAGGTATTGCATATATACATATCCAGACATATGGTGTACATATCCAGAGATACATATGCTTATTTCCTCATGGAAATATATGCTTATGATCTTATGGAAAAACTTGGGAAATATGAGCCTCTCATGACATTAGTGGTGGTTGTTTATTTGAATTCATGACTGATATACATACTATGGAGATATATACAGTGTTTTTTTCCCTTTGTCTGACTTTTGTAGATGTGATTTTACTTTTCTCTCACTTTCCTTCTATTTCAGATCCGTGGCCATCATGTGGCTCAGCTGGATCCCCTTGGAATTCTGGATGCAGACTTGGATTCATTTGTTCCATCCGACTTAATCACTACAATCGATAAACTTGGTGTGTGCACTGTATGCTTTGTTATTTGCAATGGTCGTTTGTCTCTTTTGTTTCATTGGGCTGAGGTGATGTAACGACATTTCAGGGAAGCTTCTGCCTTTTCTGCTAGCTTGTATCATGAAATAGTTTCTTTGGCGTCTGTAAAGAGGCTCAGATTTCAGGATGATGGAATTTCTACTCAGATCAGAGGTGAGATTCCTGTGAATTCATCTTCTGATGAATGATGATTATAAACACTTTATAAACCCCGAATCTTATGGTTTTGAGCCACACCAGAAATTAATGATAATCAATACATTAGGCCAAGATTCTGGTAATCTCATTTACTTTTATACCATTATGCTTGATACTTGTTTTGACTGGGGACATCGGAAGGCTAGTCAATAGGAAAACCAAATAAACCCAACTTGCTGGATAGAGAAAGTACATTTCATACCAAATTTGGATTCTAGCTTCTGATACTTATCCCTTCTGTGTAACTTGAAGAACTGTGTTTGAAGTTATCAGAAGAAAGCATGGAAAGTGTAGAATTCCTGACTCGTGTATGTAATTCACTGGTGATCATTTTAGTTTACAGCTGGAAGAGTGTAATACACTGGGGTCTGCTTTTGCAAAGGTTCTTCGGGTTGCTAAGAGGGCATGGCCTTGAGAGATTGCACTGATCAATTTCTTTGCTCTCTCTGCTTGAATAAAAAACCATCTGATTGATTTTTCTCTACTCTTCAATCTACCTGGTTTGTTACAAAGATGGTTTTATAACTGGTAAAGACACTGAATCAATTTTATTTTGATAGGTAGAGAAGCTTTTTGGACAGGGCATAAAACATAGTGCAAGTACTAGAGAGAACACATTCTGCTTAATTTTACTTTTAAGTACCTCTACTGCCTCTTTGCTGCTTTATTTTCTGTTTCTGGTGGTAGGAAAGAAGCAGTTCTGACCCTTTATCATATCAAGGCAGTGAAGTGCTTAAGACCAAATAGAGAGGTGCTTATTCAAATCACGGGTTCTTTTTGAAGTTTGTCAGCTTTGATTAAGGGAAAATACCTACTAGAAAATACATTAGACATTTACTGAGCAAATATAATTTGTTTGGAGCATGGGTGATTGCTAGCATGTCAGTGCAAATTTCTGTAAACTGTGCAGATAGTTCAGTACAGAGCATTGTGACTCACCAGAAGGCATCATACTGAAGCTCTAATGAGCATAAGAAAAACATGTTAGACTCTGAATGAGAAGGGGGGATGTGTCTGAGAGTGTAGCTGTGGTGATAGTTCAGTTTGTGAGGGAAAATATTTCTAACAGAGTCTTGGCACCACAAAAAAAAAGGAAGGATCTTAAATGTTGCTTATCCTTGAATGTTCCAGGCAGAAAACTTATGAAAGGTGTGTGTTGGTACCAAAAGTATTTTAGTGTTTGATTTTTCTGTGCATTTTCTTTGTCATGTCATCTGGTTTCTTTTTTGAGAAACTTTCTGGTAGGAAGTTTCTTCTGGGAGTTGCTTCTAAGAATGCAACTAGTTGCAGGTGTACCTACTGCATGATTCAGTTTGCAGAATTGTTTTCAGGAACTCTTTGATTTTGACGAGGTTATATCTCTTTAAACATGAGGTGGGTGATGCTTCAGTAAATATGCAGTGCTGTTGTACAAAGCACAGATGTTCTGTGTGTGCCGAGATTACTCCTGTACGTGTTCTGGTTTATGCATGGCAGAACATGAAAAGCCTATGAAGTCAGAGAAAGTCAGCAAAATAAAATAAAAATAAAAAAAGGATGCTAACACTGCTTGGTTTCAAAAGATACTAAAGCCCCCGTCATCCCCTGTGTCCCTCCCAGTTCATCCTTCTCTCTCTAAAAATTACATTAATTTTGTGCTGGAAAAATTTTCTATGGTACAAAAAAGGAGAAATAGTGGTACACAAACACTTTTTTTGGTTACTCCAGATTTGATATTTTAATATATTATTAAAATATTATTAAACCCCAAATGCACTATTTTAAAATATATTATTTTTATAACGCAAAATGTGTTGTTACTGACAGCACTATGTAGTAAAAGTGATGGTAACATAGGTCTAAGGCCTGACTTCAACTCTAAATGCTAAGTTCCATTATTATTTCATCTTTTAATTGCTTCCTTGCTTTCATCATCAGAAAATTCATTTAACAGGAAATAAGGATCACTATTCTATATTGATTTAAGCACTACATGCAGGCTTATCACTGTCGTACAGTGTTAAAGTGGATGCCTACAGCTTATCTGGAACCAAGATAAAAGAGTTCAAAACTAAAAGTAGAGAAGCTGTTTTTAGTTTTTTAAATATTTTTAGATGTCCACACACACATATATAGTTTTTATGTATATGGAAGTTTCTATAGCTGTATGTAATGTTATTGTAAGTTTTATAGATTTGCTTCTTACAATTGTAAGAAGCTATTTTTTCCTTTCTTTGTTTAACAGATTTAGATTAAACTTTACCATGCAAAGTCTTTAACTTGCATTGATATCAGTCTTTCAGTTTTATCTGTTGTGTATTTTGGCTTTTGAAACTGCAGAATAGTCAAGTTAAATATTTTCTTAAACCATATTCTCATTCAGAAGATGTTCAGATATGTTGAAATCAAGATGGGACAATATGCTTAAACAAGCCCTTCTTTTAGTAGTTGGGGGTGCATGTGTGAAAATGTGTCTGCTTTATAAGGGCCCGCTGATTGAGAAATAGAGCTGTACAGGTCATTACATGGCTATTTCAAATTTCCTATAAAGAAAAAGAAGGTGAACAGAGGTATCTTGAAAGATACACCAGAGTGTTTGCACAGTGTAACATCGAACAAGTTCTGTGTTTTCTTTTAGTCTATCCATTCATGTTGTATAAATTAGTCTACTGTGCTTCCTGCTAACTGGTTCTGTCTGTGAAAAGTGGTTCTTTGTGTTTGCTGCTCATGATAGAGCAAGGAAGAAATCACAGTCATTGCAGTTAGTTATTTTACTAAACAGTGAAGTGCAAGGTGTAGTACGGGGAGTTGATGGAATTTATGTGAAAATATAAAAAGGTTTGGGTGATTTTAATTCCAGTTGTTCTATCTGAGCATTTAAGAAAGAATGGTTTTGTACTTCTAATCAAATAGTAACTATTTAATTAAAACATTCCAGACTAGTGGATGCCTCCAAAATACTCACATTTTAAATTTTTAATCTGGTATCTTCTTTCTTGATATTGCTTTATTAAACTTAATTCGTGTTGGTTTGAAAAACAATGCTGATTTTCTTTTTGTCTCCTGTCCTGCTTCACAAATTGATAATGTACCTGTTGCAGGGTTTTATGGTTTACATGAATCAGATTTGGACAAAGTCTTTCAGCTGCCCACAACCACCTTCATAGGAGGAAATGAGAACAGTCTTTCTTTGCGAGAGATCATCAAACGATTGGAGGTCAGTGGGATGTTTTGTGATCTGTGGTAGTTTTTCATCCAAACAGAAGTGAATATTTTCCAGTTGTCAGTCATAAACTTACCATTTGTCAGTTATTAATAGAGCATGTAAGAAATCCAAATGATGTTAAAAACAACCCTTGCACTGTTTCTAGAGATGGCAGCACCATCGGTTTTGTTGCCTGCATATCTGAAATGCATAGATTAAGTATGAGTAGAAAAGAGGCGAATATGGTAGAATACTAACCTGGGCCCTAGTTCTGTAAAGAGCTGACATTGTTTCAAAGGAATAGAGCCTTTAGAACTTGTCTCTTTAATGTTCTATGACAGATAAAAACACCTTTGCACCTTACTACTCAGGATGCACAGGGGTTGCTCTCAGAACCTTTGCTTTAATGAGGCTTCTACCTAGGTGGAAATATGAGGTATGGGCACTAAATTCATGAAAGCCCAGCTGTACCCTGTCAATAGTGATGGTCCTTGTTTTCCATCCCCAGTCCTTTTTCTAGAGTTTCATTATCTGACAGGTGATACAGTTAAGCCACATTAAAGTTATCAAAGCTAAAATAATTGAAAGCAAAAATAGTTAGAAGGGATAAATATAATTAGAAGGGAACTCCAAATAGCAGAACAGTGAGTAGGAATGAATTTGTAAACTACTGAGCTAGTAAGTACTGGGTATTTCTGATTGTCCTTTTAACAGGATGTTGGAGTACTGAAGTTGTCGATATTTCTGTTGCACAGTAGTGAAATCCATAGGAGTAAAAAGGACTAGGAGTGAGGAAATAATTTAAAGGATGAAATACAGAACTGAATATCCAAGAATGTAAAAATAAAAGCATGTAAGAGTTCATGGCTTTGACCTGTTGCAAGTGTGAGAGAATGTATTGACTTGCACATCTGACTATTACATCAGCTTAGCTGATGCATGGTAGCTTGTTAAGTCGCATTTCTGTTGCACTATTGAGCTCTATATTTGCTTTCTGGTTTTTGCACTGCATGCCTGTGCAGCAGGTTTCAGGAGATAACCCTGAAAATTGTCATGTGCAAATAAATAGGCAAAATCAATAGCAAAATCTAAAAACCTTGAGGAACTGAACAAAGAGAAGCGACACTCAAGTTTTCCTCTTCAGGGCTTTGGATATTTTTTTTAATTAAAGTTAATATTAAATTCATTTTTAGAGGCAGTAGAGAGCACACACTGTGTTCAGTGTGGGTTTGTCTCAAATCACACTCAAATTGGGTCTTAGTTCTGTTGACCTGGATTTTGGACACATTTTTATGGAGAAATATTCTAAGGTAAGAAGACGAAAATGAAAAAAATGCAGCAGGGAGGTAAAACTTCTGAAATGTCTTTGAATTTTTTCCCTACCCTTTCTCTGCTCTCAGCTTCTTGGCTTCTTTTTTGAGATTTCCAGTCTTCTTAGACTTGACAGTTACCAGATAATTTGCAGGAGGCTTCATAGCTGTCCTCTCATTGTCTTTATGGCTTGATTTCAGGTGACATTTAAAAAAGACAGGGTAAATTCTGATGAATGTCATGAAATCCTTGCTGGTGCATCTAAAGCAAAGACTATTACGCCTGAAAGAACAGTAGTGAGTTAGGTGAAATATGCCAGTCAGTTTAAGGCAGGTTTATTCACCTACCTGGAATGTATAACCAAATGAGAGTCTTCCAGATTCCAAATTTTGAAATGTTACCTTGTAGATAAAGTTTTCTAAAGTTGATTTAGTAAAATAATATGTTTGCTTATAGGATTACTGTGGGGAAGATACAGTGGAAAAGGAAGAAGACAAGATAGCTTTCAGAGAAATAATATATGCAGAAAATGTAATTTGAAAAATATATTTGTTTCTTCATGGCTCATTAACTTCCAAAGCCTATGTGTTGGTGTTTTCACATCATAGAATACCTACTGCCAACACATTGGCTTGGAGTTTATGTTCATCAATGATGTGGAGCAGTGCCAATGGATCCGGCAGAAGTTTGAGACCCCGGGAGTTATGAAGTTTACTAATGAGGAAAAAAGGACTTTGTTAGCAAGGCTGGTGCGCTCAATGAGGTATTCTGGGGTGACACTTGGGACTGCTCTGTGACTGCTGGATGTAAGCTGGTGTGGGAAGCTAGTGTGGTCTGTAAATTGCTGAGGTGGAGGGGAAGAGTCTAAGTGAAATCGAATACAAGTGGGTGTACTTAATCTGGCTGTGATATCAAAGGGAAGTGTGCTGTGAGGTGGGGTCAGGGTCTTGTGTAGTGAATGTTAGTATTCCATTTCCTTAAAAGGCAGGTAGTTCTGTAACACTTGTGCAGCCTTTAGTGGCATATCTGGCAATGTTTTCATTGGCTTGCAGAGATAAACTGGGGGAAAAAAATGTTTCAGCAGACTAGTATTATGCATCTGTACTAGAGATTCATAATTTCAGAAAATAGGTGTCAGAACAACACTGGATACTGATCTGCTGCTGTATTCTATCTACTGTGCAACTTCATAGCACCATGATCGAAGGAAGCCATCCCAGTGTACAGTTCTTACAATTTGAAACAGTTTGTATATCCTTTGATAAACACAAGAGTTAGAAATTTATAAAAATACATTTTTACACTAAGCTTCTATTTTAAAAGGTTTAAAAATGAAACACTTACTGAAGGTGTTGGAAGATATTTTTGCCAGGTATTTTGTTTGCCAATATTATAGCAAGATTGTCTCATTAAAAGTTTAATTTAAACAGAAATAAAAAAAGTCACGTAGTGGTCAGGTAAGTATTGCACTTGAGTAAGTTTGTTTAACAAGCCCTCAGCATCTCCATTTATCTTGAGGCAAGAATTCTGCTTTCATTCCTGTGTAAGCTGTGGAAAGATGTGGGGTTTCTATAAGCATGAAGGAGCCAAACATTCATCTTCTGCCAAATTTCTGGTTGTGCTCTTGAGGTTTGTACCTTTGTAAAGTGGATAGTAATAATTTTGCTCAAGAATACCATTTTCAAAAATGTTCATTCCAAGTACTTCATAGTTCAGTACTCAAAACTGAATTTTAAAGTTGGATTTCTCATCCTTGTACTGTTCACTGTATGTTATTGAGCAAAGGGTCATTTTTTAACTATTCTCCTGTAAAAGTACTCTCTGTATATCATTGAGCTACTGTGTGTATGCGTTAGTAAACAGTGTGTCGTGGTTGAAGCCCAGCCACTTAACTCAGTCCCACCCAGCTGCCTGCTCACCCCTGTCCCTTTTCCCCTCCCCAGGTGGAATGGGGGGGGAGAATAGAAAGAATGTAAAGCCCACAGATGCGACTGTGAAACAATGTAGTTCTGTAGTACTGCAGTTTGCCTCCAATAATGAACTTTCTGCTTGGCCAGTACTGGCTTGCTGCAGCAGTAAGGAGGAAAACAGTGTGTACACCACTTCGACTTGTCATGTAGGACTTGCTGTTCACATGGGACCTCACCTGCAATTTATATAAAGTGGCATAGCCCATCAGACTTCCCTGAGGAATTCTGATAGCATAGCTCAGCTGAGGGTCTGGTTTGTTGCTTGGATGGTTGAATTGTAAGGGTATTGATGGGTAAGCTAAGGAAAGTCATTCAGCAACTCTTCATTTTGCTGCTTTTAGGACTTCAATCTAAAGAGATAAATGTCAGCATTCTAAGTGAGGAATAGGGCAAGTATTAATGGATTATGGCAGCATTATGAGTTGAGGCATGGCACAGATGACTTAACCAATACAGTTATTTTCATGAAGATGTATTTTCTTTGCCTTTTATATCCCCAAGCTTTACAACATATAATCCTTTCAATGTCTGTTAAAAGGTACTTTTTAAACACTCACATTGCCTCTGGCCCAAATGCATTAAAGAATGAAAGAACATAGAGCTGTCTGGGATTGACATCTTTCTCCAGCTGAAGCTGAGGCAGAGATACCAGTGTCCTAGCTCTTTCTGGCACATTACCAACTGTTACATCACATGGTCTGAGAGGAGCCCTGCTGTTGAATAGGACCTGCGAAGTAGGCATGCTTTCTACTGTGGTTTTCTATAAGCATTTAATTATTACTTGCAGAAAATGCAGGTTCTGTTCTGTTTTCTTCAGTCCATAGAAGAGACTTCTTTGCTGTCACTCTGCCTTCCCAGTTGGCAGTATACGTTTTGTGTACATGGGAAGGAGCAGAGTTTAACTTGGGAAGTGAATTTGTCTGAGATGGAGACTTATCTTCCTGTCTGAATTGTTTCAAAGTCCCAGCAGATACTTCTCAGAGGAGAAAGATTGTTTAATTCTCTCCTATGTCTCCTCTCTACACGTGGCTTGCTTCCAGAGGCCTAAAAGCATGTATTCACATATGTTTTAAAACAGTGTAATGTAATTTTATTTGCTAAAAGATGTTTGACAACAAATGAGATTTTGTTACATCATCTTAATATAAACACTGTTTCTTGTTTTGGTTATGTTTTGTTTTGTTTCTTTTTGACAAAGATTTGAAGACTTCCTTGCTCGCAAATGGTCTTCTGAAAAGAGGTTTGGTTTGGAAGGATGTGAAGTAATGATTCCTGCACTTAAGACTCTCATTGACAAATCCAGTGAAATGGGAATTGAATACGTTATAATGGGGATGCCTCATAGGTAATGTTGATGGAAACCTCCCAGCAGATGAGCTTATTGTCTTAAAACAAGTTTTGAGTTCTAGAAGTTTATTAAGGAACTTGATATTAGGAGCATCTAGTGTAGCAAGAGCTGGACATAGCAAGTAATGGAAACGTAGAACTGTAACAAATACCTGTCAGTGAGAGGCTACAGGCTTCACAGGTAAATGTTAGCAAAACTCTCTTCAGTGTACTTTGAAGCTGCAAGCAAATGAGGCAGCAGCAATGGTATCTATCCCATTGCATAGAGTCTAGAACTGGGATGGCTTGGCAAGATAGTATCAAACTTACTTTTGCGGTCTGCATTTAATTAATTATTAATGTCATTATATTAAGACTTTTAGATAGCTACAAAATTCATTGCTCCTGCTTGGGTAACAGGGTGTTATAAAACATCTGCAGGAATGCATTGGAGGAGCTTTGCAATGGGAAGAAGGGTAGAATGAAGGGTTTCAGGTTTAAAAGTTTGAAGTGAACTTCTTGTGAATTGTGACAGGATGGCTTGCTGATTTTATAAGCTTCATACATTAACTCTGTTATTACCATTTCTGAGACATAACTGTGGTTGGAATTCTTTTTAGAGGTAGACTGAATGTGTTGGCTAATGTAATCCGAAAAGAGCTGGAGCAGATCTTCTGTCAGTTTGATCCTAAACTGGAAGCAGCTGATGAGGTAAGATGCTTCTTCAGTAAATCTGTGTAGAGAGGTCAACATTCAAGGTAGTGTTATAGTCATTTTGCTCATGTTTATTATGAAAAGAACATTGTCAGCTGCTGAAATGCGTGTCTTCTTTTGTAGTTTGAGCAGTATGATTTGGTGAAATTTCTTAACAAATTTAAAGACTATACTGTACCTCTAACATGCAGAAGGTATCTCAGGAATGGTTCTAGATAGTTAAGTTCCAGGTCATTTGACAGTTTGTAATCCCTGAGCATATTTCTTTGTTTTATATAAATGAAAGGAGTGTTGATATTTTGTAAATATTTATCAGAAAATAAAATAGGAACAGTGCTCCAGTTTGAAATTATGGTGTCACGCCCGTAGTGCATATTGCTGTACAGTTAGCTAGATGCATTTTTCAGAATGAAAGAACAACTTTTTGGTGTAGTCAATAGGATGTAGCTGATATAAATGACATTCCTGAATTGTGACTACATCTTGCGTGTTAGGGATCTGGGGATGTAAAATATCATCTGGGAATGTACCATGAGAGGATCAACCGAGCAACAAACAAGAAAATCACTCTGTCCCTGATGGCTAACCCTTCTCACTTGGAAGCAGTTGATCCCGTTGTGCAAGGGAAAACAAAAGCTGAACAGTTTTATCGTGGGGATACAGCAGGGAAGAAGGTAAATATTGTGTAATGTAGTAACACTTACTGATAGCTTTTCATAAGAATAGCTTACCAGTAGTTTTGTATCACAGAGTCTTTTCCTCTTACACCTGTTGAACTAGATAAAGTTTTTTACATGCTACCTCAAGGGTAACTTCAGGAAGTAGGCTTAAACTTTCTTTCATTTGTGAACTAAGCAAGGACAGCAGAATGCTGAGAAGTCTCTGGTTTATTATAAAAAGACAGTTCTATTTTGTAAGCATTACAGAGATATGGAGCAAAAAAAACCTGCTGAGAGGATTAAATTGCAGTTCTGCTTTCTAATATATGTGTGTGGATGTGTGTGTATAATTCTCCCTTTAGGTTATGTCCATATTATTGCATGGGGATGCTGCCTTTGCAGGACAAGGAGTGGTTTATGAGACATTTCATCTTAGTGACCTGCCATCTTATACCACGAATGGCACTATTCATGTTGTGGTCAACAACCAGGTAACAAGTAGAGCGTTTTCCAATCACTTTGTCTTCTGAATAGTTGCTAGTGTATTTGGTTTTATTCTTGTTTTCATTAGCTGGATGCATTGTCCCCTCTGTTCATCAGAATGATTAGGATGTTTCTGAAAATTGTCATAGGATCTAGCAACTCTTACTGAATAATATTTTATTACCTATATTTATTTCATTCAATTTGTGAATTGTTTGTTTTGTTTTGTTTTTAAGGGAGCAAAATGAAGCTAGCTAGCCAAAATGAAAAGCTGATACTGCTGCTGTCTAAATGACTAATAAATGAAAATCTTAAACATTTAAAACAAAGTAGGGGGTGATGCCCAACTTATTTTAATGGAAGTTTCTGGAATTTTTAGATTGGCTTCACCACAGACCCCCGTATGGCCCGTTCATCTCCATATCCTACTGATGTTGCTCGTGTGGTCAATGCTCCCATTTTTCACGTGAATGCTGATGACCCTGAAGCAGTAATGTATGTATGCAGTGTAGCTGCAGAATGGCGAAACACATTCAATAAAGATGTGGTGGTTGACTTGGTAGGTCTTGATTTTTTTCATTCTGTGTATTATGTACTACTCTCTTGTTTTTATGTGGCTTAGAAGACCCAGTAAAGAAACATACTTTGATTTTAAAGGCCTTTAGTTTCTTCATTTAAACAAAGCAAAACAGTAATAGGTCCACAAGAATCCGTAATTGTTTTTATACCTCCTAAAACCTGTGTAAAACTATTAAATGGAAAGTTTGCATTTTACATTTCTTCCTACCAACAGAAACAATCTTTCCTGTTGTAGGTTTGCTACCGTAGGAGGGGGCACAATGAAATGGATGAACCGATGTTCACCCAGCCTCTAATGTACAAGCAGATTCATAAGCAGGTGCCAGTGCTGAAGAAGTATGCTGACAAACTGATTGCAGATGGGACTGTAACACTGCAGGAGTTTGAGGTACACATCAGCAGAGTTAAAGCAAACCTAAGAAGCTGTCAGTAGGAAGACACGAATGTCACTGTATACTGTTTGCTGAAGTGTGACTGTCAGCTATGTTTGGTGCTTCAGTTCTGTCTCATTCTAGAGTAATACTTACAAATTCAGCTCTTGGTACTCTCCTTTGTAACACCTGTTTAATAAACTAAATTATTTATTTAGAGTAATGTGGGTAAGCATGTCTCTAGTAGGCAATTTAATCCTAGATAAAATTAAATTGTTTGCATAATTGTAATTTTCTTCAGAAGTTAAATAACTAGGTGTTTTATACTGAATGATAGGTCTCATCTGTAATATACAAAGGTGTTTTAAAATGAGAGTTTTTGTCTTACAGGAAGAAATTGCAAAGTATGATAGAATATGTGAAGAAGCATATACTAGATCTAAGGATAATAAGATCCTACATATCAAGCACTGGCTTGATTCACCTTGGCCTGGTAAGGAGCGTCCTTTCATTTATCCTAGTGTTAATATTGTTGTGCTTTTATTTTAAGTCCATATTCTAGGACTCTTAAATGCTTTTTGTCAGACAGTGTTCCTTTAAAACAGAATATGTGACCTTTGTTTTGCTGTTAATAGTAAATAAAGCATTCTGTCAGATCAGCTTGAAAGAGTTGCTTTTGTTAAAAACCATGCAAAGTAAGGTGTGACTTTGAAAAAGGTGTCTTTTCAGTTTAGTAGAGAAGTGTTTTTCCTGTAATGTTAATAGTGTCTCTGCCTTCAGAGATATATTTTTTTTGAGGGATTGAGGTGCCTTATGCCTTTTATTGGCTGCCTCTGCCCACATAGTCGGACTTCAAAGGGAGTAAAGACAGAAACAAATAAAACCATTGTGTGCCTATAAGGTTAAGTTCTGTTGTCATACAATCAAAATGATCGTGTCTCCCAGTGAAAGGTGAAGAACTAGGTTTATATTGCTGCTTAGAATGTCTTCTTAAGAGTTGTGAGTTTTTAAATTAGTTGTAGATAGTGTAGGTATATCTTGATCAGTCTTTGAACTTCTCACTAAATTTTTTACTTCCAGGATTCTTTAATGTGGATGGAGAACCCAAGAGCATGTCTTGTCCTCCAACTGGCATTTCAGAAGACCTGCTGACTCATATTGGCAATGTAGCGAGTTCAGTGCCAGTCAAAGACTTCAAAATACATGCAGGTCAGCTATATTCTTTGCTTCTCCTGGTGGCTGGGTTTCTTGCTCAGATTTTGTATTTCTGCTGCTGGGTCATTTTCTAAAGAGGAAAATGCCTGTGATTTTTATTTTAACTCTTCCATCCTATGGGCAAGGAGAATGTGACAGTTAACATCCTGCTGCTTGTTCTCAGCATAATGTTCTTTCAGTATCATGCCACTTCTGTTCCTAACCTCATTAAAATAGATTTTCCCCTGAGTGTGAGGAAAGACCTCTGAAAGTCTCTTTATAATGTTAATACCTTCCATTCTTCAAGTCCTTGTGGAAACTGCTGCCTCTATGCAGCAGGTTTGTGGACTCACTGGAAGGTAAGGCACCCATCTCAGGAAGCACTATTAATGTGTTTTTTTAATGCTAAAACCAGTGGTAATATGAGGTGCACCTATGACACTTGTAGTTAATTAACTTTCTATGCAGGAATATATCTAACTTGTGTTTTGTCTTACCAAGTTATAAAACCTTCACTGTAAGAAAACAGCTGTTGTTTGCCAACTGAAAACCTGTTGGCAGCTGCTACAAATTTCCCATTTATATGATATTCGTAGTATTGATCAGTCCAGCCTGTTTCGCTTTGCAGCATCTCCAGAAGTCCAGTAAGACAAATGCCAAGGAAAAATGAGAGTGAGAAAGAGAGAAGAAAAAAAATCATGAACCCAATAGCTGATATTTTCAGTATCTTATAAAACAGTACTTGGTGTTAGAGGTGTGAAAGTAAATCTTTAGGAAGAAGTATTCCACCATGAGACTTTCTTTATTGTCCTCAGTAGTTTCTGACACAGCCAGTCTTATTTTCTTGTTCTAAACCAAGGCATGAACATTACACAACACTTTGCCTAGGAAACAAGTTATTTTACTTTGCTAGCACTTTAATTCCAGAAGAACAACTTGTCGACCCTATTAGGATCTGTGTTTGAGTTAGCCAGTGGGGAAGGAGAATAGTGAATATAATATGGATATAAAAGACCTCTCAAGTAAGTCCATTGATTTTTGATATTTATTCCAATATAGGACTCTCTCGGATCTTGAGAGCCCGCTTGGAAATGACCAAGAACAGGGTAGTTGACTGGGCCTTAGCAGAATACATGGCTTTTGGCTCTTTTCTAAAAGAAGGAATCCACGTCCGACTAAGTGGACAGGATGTGGAGAGGGGTACTTTTAGGTGAGTACAGTGATAACTGTTAAATGCTGTCCCATACTTAAAGAAACACCTTGGCATTTTTCAAACAGTATGGTGATCTGTGGGGAAGGGCAAGTTGGGGCTATTACGCATCAGTCTAAATGTTCGGCATTCTGGCACTCGAGTAGTCAAATCTCCTGTGTCTCTGTATACAGCATTTTAAAGAATTGTATTTAAAGCAGAGCAAATGTTCCTAGATATTTTCTTCTTTTTTTTTCTGAAAAAGAGAAATTATATATTTTTTCTTTCTGCTTTTTAACTAAAAATTCAACTGCAATTCATCCAATTGCTGAGAAGTAAAAGAAGGGTATTTGCTGATGCAGATCATGTAGTCTTTTAAATACCATTCTAGTGATGGCTACCTGAAGCTTGGGTATCCTGTGAGCAAACATGTTGACAATTGGCAAGCCTTTTTAAAGTGAAATAAGGTCCTTTGTACTGAGACTGCGTATGACTATGGAGCTTGAAGGAATGCAGAATCTGATCATTCGGTAAAGTATATACAGTTCTGCTGCCTTACCTGATTCTCCATGGAGTAACATGTTAACGATGTGTTTAATTGCAGCCTTTGATGCGAAGCTCATTGCTGGGGGTGAATGAACTAGCAGCTGCACTGTGCTTCATTGTGAATGCTTGCAGAAAAGAGAGATAAATTTCAGTGCCTGACTTCTCTGGAACAATGCTGTGTTTCTGTGCTGAGGTTCATTTAGTATCCAATCTTTTGGACATTCTTCATTTGCTCCTATAAAAAAATGGCATGTTTAACAAAATCCTTTGGACAAGACATGAAAACAAAACTGAAAATTGTGACATTTCCACCCCCTACACTTCTGGTTTCTTATTCTCATTTATTTTAGTACTGTGGTCTTGTAAAGTGGTGATCCTCTCCTGGGAGAGGATCATACATGTTCATTGTTCAGTGGACTACCCATTTGTTTCAGGAGGGCACCTAGTTGTGTCTAGCACACACCTATAGACTTGTCATGAGAATAGTATTCTCAGTTCTCTTCTTTGGTGGAAGAGGATTTTCCAGAGCAATCATCCAGATTTTTCTTGATGTTGAAGATAAAAATAATTGTTATGCTCACAGCAGCATAGGGAAAAAAATAAAAAAACTTGTTGAAATAAAAACCTATTCAAGTTGGTGAAGACTAGCTAAGGATTCATGTGCCATATGGATTTTATTATTCAGTCTTATCAATAGGCAGAAGCTGGATAAAGCTGCAGATAGAACCACTGGGCCCCTTCTCATCTTGGAGACACATTCTGGAGAAGCGAAAGAAAGGGGAAGAGAGAGACTTGATTTTGTACTGATTTGATGTCAGTAAACCTGATACTTGCACAACAGCAGTATCTGGCTTGTATGTCTGTACATTTCTGGCTGTCTGTCTATGCTGTATGTCTATGTCTATCACCTTTTGCTGGGGAAACACAAAACTGTGCTGAAGAAGCTTATCGCCTAGCTAGGCCTTCTGTCTTTGACTGAATGGCAAAATTAGCATAATGGTGGCAAAAATTTTTTCTACTTAACAGCTGTCTAGTATGTCTGTTTTCCCCTTTCTACCTACTTCCCTCCCTATGATTTTCTTCAAGTATTCTTTTCTTGGCCTTATGTTGTTGACTCCTACATAAATTTCAGAGCTCTTTCGCTACCATTTGTTTTATAGCAAAGGGAAGCACAAAAAGATTCAGTCCCCAGTTCAGTGTTGGCAGCTGTACAAACACACAGTATTTGTTACCACTGTAGTAACTGTCCTTATGTTAGCAGTTGTAAAGCTGGACATATTGGTGTGATTCACTCAGTTAGTCTGCTCAGGGAGTTAATGGATTACAGTAATTACTTCAGTCATCTCTGTTTTGGTAGCATTCCTCTGTGCCTCATTCTAATGCTGATTAATGGTGTTCTATAGAACTGTAAATGGTGCATGTGAATGGAAATAACAGGAAAGAGGATATAACTGCTTCAAGTCTTTGTGCTGAGATTTGATTCGATTACATTTTTGCATAAAAGGCAAACAGTTGTTTTAAGGAAAAGATTAATAGAATTTGCCAGGGAGGTAAAGATAAATGCTTTTAATAACAATTTTATTAATCCTTTTTTGTTGTTTGTGTTTTTTATTTGTTTTTGTTTGAGTTTTTGTTCTGTTTGGGGTTTTGGGGGTTTTGGTTTTTTGTTTTTTGTTTTTGTTTTTTTTTTATACTTTAAATGATCGGTTCTATAGCATCAACCTCCATACTCCTTTTCCCCTTCCCCCTAGTTCTTCTAGGGGGAAGGTATTTTCAGTTTCCATGAGCGCTTGAGATCAAGCTTGTATAGTCAAAGTCCATATTAGACAGGTAACTGTATCACTAGATTTCAGCCAAACCAGGGTTGTGTGTAAAGCAAAGGTAACTGTGTTGCTTGCATGCTTTCTAGGACATAACTTTGATGTTTATCTTTCAAAATAGGTCTGTTAAAGCCCAAAGTTATTCTTAACTAATAAATTGCTTTCAACAACTATTTGCAGCCATCGTCATCATGTGCTTCATGATCAAGAAGTTGACAAGAGAACGTGTGTTCCCATGAATCACCTCTGGGAGCAGCAGGCCCCCTATACTGTCTGCAACAGCTCCCTTTCTGAATATGGTGTCTTAGGTATGTCTTGGGGTAATTATCTGACAGATCTTAATAGATCTTAAACAAGATGTAGGAAATTATGACTGCTAATTAAAAGGATTTTTTTTTCAGACTTTAATGTGGTTAAGCTTTCTGGGTGCAAAGTTTTACTTTGTTACTTGCGTTTGGCAAGTCTAAAACCAAATGCCTCCTTCTGCTAGTAGCATTTAATAATAAGCAAACTCTGCCTTTGTGGTATTTTGACATTATCATAATAGTCATGTTTTTGATCAGGTGAGAACCAGGAATTACAGAACAGGGGCCTAAAATCCAATCAAAATGCCTAAACTGATTTCCCTCCACCCCCTGAAAAAAAGTAGTTCTATCAGGAGATTCAGTAAATTTACCCTGTTCGTTGTAGGATTTGTCCCTTATTGTCTTATTACCTTGAATGGTTTTTAAAAAATCATTGTAGTATGAACTTTAAGCTCAACTTAGGTTTTTTTCTTACAGTGTGCTATGGTGGGTCTCTGTTTTAATGTATATTTTATTTTTAACATTTTAGAATAAAATAAAAATTAGAGGGAAAACTTCAGCTAGCTGTGTATGTGTTTGCTTTGGGGTTTTGTTTCTTTGGTTTGTTTGCTTGCTTTAAATTTTGAATGCCTTGCCTGTGGAATCAGCCGTATGAATTTGCAGTTTTTTTTGCAAAACTTTCTGCACTCTTCAAATAATACACCTATTTGTTTAGGCTGCTTAGAACCTGCTTGTACTTCAAAACTGTAAACTGGGAGACTAAAGTAGTTTTTTGGTGGATAAGTCGCAGAATCAGTCCCATTACTATTCAGTGGGACATAACATAGTAATGAGAGAAGGTTAATTTCAGAGAATAACATAGCTATACAAGAAGCAGAGCTCAGCAAGAAAACGAATGGAAAAAAGCTGTAAAACAGTTATATATGAAACAGATATGAAAGCTTTCCCTCTCAGGTTCTGTCATCCCTTAAACAAGCACCCCACATTTTCCAATTTTGGGATTCAGCTGGAAGTTTCCATCTTCCGTGGTTGCTTGTGGCAATGCTGGAACATGCACCTAATGCTTTCTCAAAAGGAGAGGAGCTGTCAACAGAATCAAGGACTCTGTAATACAGATATAAAAATCCATGCCAGCTTTATCTGAACTGCTATTCTGAACATGCTAGTTGAAGAAAACAAATACTTGTGATAGCATTACTCAGAGTGAATTATATTTTTGGTAGTGGACAGGCATTTTACCTTCAGCCACAGAGAATGAATAACCTCACTGACATGGTGAGGGTGGCAAGAGGAATGTGGAGCACAAAACCAATACATCTAATAATTTATCAAAAACGTTATTGATTCCGTGGATAAGTAATGAAATATTTTTTCATATCCATTTCAGAGCTAGTGTGAAGGAAAAGGATGCAGCACTGTAGGAGATGAAGACAGGAATTGATAGCTGCAGTAAAGTTCCAAAAAATTGGTGACTTAGTCATTTTTACATATGCTACATAATACTTACTGCTAGTAAAATTAAAGTGGTACAAAACTAGTAAGCCTTAGTGTGAGCTGAAGAGCTGAGATTTTGTCGGTATTTTTGTTAGCTCTGTGGCAGAATTAGTGTGAACAGAAGTTTGTATCTCTATAAGCTAATATCATTCATCATGGCTTGACTTCGCGAACGAAGATTTGGGAAGGGCATTTACCCACGCTTACTACAAGCGCACTGATGACTAAGAAGGCCAATGTGGGATAGGCAAATCCGGCTACAAAAAGCACAGCAGAAGGTCTCCTTGGGTGGAACAGGTGGGACGCGATTCTTCCTGTGTTGTCTTTTCTCCTCGAGACTAGTTCTTCGTGAACTCTCAAAGGAGTCAGCGGCATTATGTATGGTGTGCCTCCAAGTCTCCCGATTGGAGGCCAAGGTGGACCACTGATGGTAGTCAATATGGCCAAGGCTAAGGTATTGTTTCAGGGAGTCCTTGTATCTCTTCTTTGGGGCACCTCTCTTGCGGCTACATGTAAACTCTAGTTTGCAAGACAGGATGTGTATAAACACAATAAAAATAATTGGCATAGCTAAAAAGCAGGAATTTAATTTCAGAGAGTGATTTTTTTCTTTGTTTTGTTTGTTTCCAATTTCCCGTTCTTTCTCATAGTTTGGCCTGGGCTTTCTTAACTTGAGACAATTTACAGTGTAGCTGCAAATGTAATGGGTAAGTGTGTCATAGGTTTCTGGTTTTGGTTTTGTTTGGTTGTTGTTTTTTTTAATATTCAAATAACATATCCAAATGTGAAAGTGATATGTCTGGATGTGGTTGCAATTTGATTTTAATCCAAAACTTACACATCATGAGGTCTAGGAATTCTGTTGTTGATACAGTGTGAAGGGCAATTCCAATTGCCACAAATCTGTTCTTTAAAAATTAACTAAGTGGGCTCTCTCTCTTTCTTGATCCCATCCTGCTCACTGTTGCTCCTCCATCTTCCTGAGCAGCAGAAATGTGAAAGTTGATTTAATAACTTTAATTCGGTACAAGCAATAGGACAAAATGTGGGCTTTTTCATAAACTGAAGAGTACCAGTTCTGTGCAGTCCTGCTTCAGCAGATGTGATGACAGGTTCTTCAAAACTAATAATATCAATATTTTTAGTTGTTAAGAACTTTAAATCCCTTGTGTCTAAGCTGTTTTCTAACAGTAAAGGAAATTAGATTTCTGGAAAGAGTTGATGAGATGATCTTTTTTTCCCTTAGAAATATCATATTTCTATGTTGAAATGATTTTATAATAAGTTTTCTCTCCTTATATAGTTTTTATATATCAGGCTTTTCCAACATGTTTACTCTTGTGTATTCTATCTATAGAGAGACAGTGTTGGGATAAGCAGTAGTGTGTGAACATGTGGCACCTCAGTCAAAGAGGAGCTATTAGAATTGTTACCTGTTTGGCCGGTAACATCACCAGGTCTCCTTTTTAGTACATGGAAGAGTAAGTAAGTGCTTACAGGTCAATGAGTTGATCCTTCAGGTGTAGCAAACCCCCCAACACTTTATTTTCTCTAACTGCTATTTCGCCTTGTCCTGGTTTCAGCTGTGACACTTATTTTTCTTCCTAGTAGCTGGTGCAGTGCTGTGTTTTAGCTTTAGTCTGAGAACAGTGCTGATAACACACTGATGTTTTTGTTGTTGCTAAGTAGCACTTACCCTGGTCAAGGACTGAAACTTTTCAGTCTCTCATGCTCTGCCAGTGAGGAGGGGGACAAGAACCCAAGAGGAAGCAGAGACAGGACACCTGACCCAAACTAGCCAAAGGGGTATTCCATGCCACAGCATGTCATGCCCAGTATATAAACTGGGGGGAGTTATCCGGAAGGCCCAGTTTGCTGCTTGGGTTGGGCTGCATATTGGTCGGCTGGTGGTGAGCGATTGTTTTGAGAATCACTGCTGTTTACTGGGTTTTCATTACTTCTCTTGTTATTTCCTATTATTGTCATTATTGTTATTGTTGGTATTCTTTCTGTTATCACTATATTGTACTTTAGTTATTGGGCTGTTCTTATCTCAACTCTTGGATTTTACATTCTTTTGATTCTCCTCGTCCCAGCTGGCAGGGGGGAGAAAGGAGAAGTGTGAGTGAGCGGCTGCGTGGTGCTGAGTTACTGGCTGGGTTTAGACCACAACATTACTATATGAGCCTGTTACAAGTAAGACTTTGGGATTAGTGGCCTAAAGTATTTGGTGAGGGTTGAGAAGGTTGTAAGAGGATGTAAAAGAAAAGAAAAAGTGTTAAGAATTTAATTTGTGACTGTGTTAATGTGCAGCACCTCAGAAGCATTTTGGGAATTCCCTTAGTTTCTGTGAATTAGAGCAAAGTAAAAATGGATTGAACAGCCCAGTATGATAGAACTACAGATTATTTTCTTGGCAGGTACATAAACCAAAGGCTGGTGTCTCTTCAGAGCTGTGAGCTTTGCACCAAGTTATTGTTGAGCTGGTTAGGAACACCTGGGGTGTAACTGCTCCATTAAAACGATACTCTGGCAAGACTGATTTCACTTCTAAATAAAACTAAGGCAGTCTTGTTAACTTGTAGTTCAAACAGTTGCTTATGTTTTGTACACAGGAAGCTGTGGAGTGTGTGTACTGGGGCATTAAATCAGAGTATTTAACAATCTCTGATAATTTTATCTGACATCCTATGTCTCCTATTTTTAGCTATATCCAGATTATTACAATTTAGTTGTGCATCCACTCATCTAGCTATAAATTTTCCCTTTTACTGAGTCTGAACATCTGGTAGTATAAATGATGGCTGTGTGAAGTCATTTAAGCTAAAAAGTTTGTCTGAGTTTGTTTGCTGATTGAGATGAAGGAGAAAAGCAAGAGTAACTTACAGGTGCTCCATGCTACCTGTTTTTTAAACACTTGAAGGGATCTCCAGTCTTTACTGCCCTCAGTGTTGATTGTCCATCAAGGTGTGATTCTGTCAGGTTTCAGTAGGAGTTTTGAGCGGTCTTGGGCTGTAGCATCCCATATTGGGAACTTCCAGGGAACATGCAGGCAAGATACACTTGAGACTAGTGTGTAGTTCAGCAAATTCCTGAACCATGAGACCTGGAGTACAGCTTTTTCAAGAGGGAAGGTCATGTTTAAAAAAGAAGATAAAGGGGGGTGGACAGGTATTGATTTAACCTTTTCTTACAGTACAGTTCTAGGATGAAATATGTAGTATTACTGCTCATGCAGAACAACATGTTTTTAAGAATGGGAGTAGCAAATGCAGTTATCTGTCAGAAATGGTGTTGGGAAATATGACAGACTGAAGTAACCAAGGACCAGGTTTTCAATGGCATCTGCATGGAGCTCTTAGAAGGCGTCAGTCTTTCTGTTTAATAGGGTCAGCCACCAGGTGGGTGTTAACTTCACTTTCTCCTGGGCTGTGTTTGAGTTTGTGAGAGGGTGCATTCCCTCTGTTAGTTCCTGTGCTTAAATTTTCTGTTAAACATAGCACAAATCT